CTATCGATCTACCCAGCTATCGATCTACCCAGCTATCGATCTACCCAGCTATCGATCTACCCAGCTATCGATCTACCCAGCTATCGATCTACCCAGCTATCGATCTACCCAGCTATCGGTCTACCCATCTATCGTCTACCCAGCTATCGATCTACCCAGCTATCGATCTACCCAGCTATCGATCTACCCAGCTATCGGTCTACCCATCTATCGTCTACCCAGCTATCGATCTACCCAGCTATCGATCTACCCAGCTATCGATCTACCCAGCTATCGGTCTACCCATCTATCGGTCTACCAGCTATCGGTCTACCCAGCTATCGATCTACCCAGCTATCGATCTACCCAGCTATCGGTCTACCCAGCTATCGATCTACCCAGCTATCGATCTACCCAGCTATCGGTCTACCCATCTATCGTCTACCCAGCTATCGATCTACCCAGCTATCGATCTACCCAGCTATCGATCTACCCAGCTATCGGTCTACCCATCTATCGTCTACCCAGCTATCGATCTACCCAGCTATCGATCTACCCAGCTATCGATCTACCCAGCTATCGATCTACCCAGCTATCGGTCCTACCCATCTATCGGTCTACCCAGCTATCGATCTACCCAGCTATCGATCTACCCAGCTATCGATCTACCCAGCTATCGGTCTACCCATCTATCGTCTACCCAGCTATCGGTCTACCCAGCTATCGGTCTACCCATCTATCGTCTACCCAGCTATCGATCTACCCAGCTATCGATCTACCCAGCTATCGATCTACCCAGCTATCGATCTACCCAGCTATCGGTCTACCCATCTATCGTCTACCCAGCTATCGATCTACCCAGCTATCGATCTACCCAGCTATCGATCTACCCAGCTATCGATCTACCCAGCTATCGGTCTACCCAGCTATCGGTCTACCCATCTATCGTCTACCCAGCTATCGATCTACCCAGCTATCGATCTACCCAGCTATCGGTCTACCCATCTATCGGTCTACCCATCTATCGGTCTACCCATCTATCGTCTACCCAGCTATCGATCTACCCAGCTATCGATCTACCCAGCTATCGATCTACCCAGCTATCGATCTACCCAGCTATCGGTCTACCCATCTATCGTCTACCCAGCTATCGATCTACCCAGCTATCGATCTACCCAGCTATCGATCTACCCAGCTATCGGTCTAACCTGTCTATCGGTCTACCAGCTATCGGTCTACCCAGCTATCGATCTACCCAGCTATCGGTCTACCCAGCTATCGGTCTACCCAGCTATCGATCTACCCAGCTATCGGTCTACCCAGCTATCGATCTACCCAGCTATCGATCTACCCAGCTATCGGTCTACCCAGCTATCGATCTACCCAGCTATCGATCTACCCAGCTATCGATCTACCCAGCTATCGATCTACCCAGCTATCGGTCTACCCAGCTATCGATCTACCCAGCTATCGATCTACCCAGCTATCGGTCTACCCAGCTATCGATCTACCCAGCTATCGATCTACCCAGCTATCGATCTACCCAGCTATCGATCTACCCAGCTATCGATCTACCCAGCTATCGATCTACCCAGCTATCGGTCTACCCAGCTATCGATCTACCCAGCTATCGATCTACCCAGCTATCGATCTACCCAGCTATCGATCTACCCAGCTATCGATCTACCCAGCTATCGATCTACCCAGCTATCGATCTACCCAGCTATCGGTCTACCCAGCTATCGGTCTACCCAGCTATCGATCTACCCAGCTATCGATCTACCCAGCTATCGGTCTACCCAGCTATCGATCTACCCAGCTATCGGTCTACCCAGCTATCGGTCTACCCAGCTATCGGTCTACCCAGCTATCGGTCTACCCAGCTATCGATCTACCCAGCTATCGATCTACCCAGCTATCGATCTACCCAGCTATCGATCTACCCAGCTATCGGTCTACCCAGCTATCGGTCTACCCAGCTATCGGTCTACCCAGCTATCGGTCTACCCAGCTATCGGTCTACCCAGCTATCGGTCTACCCAGCTATCGGTCTACCCAGCTATCGATCTACCCAGCTATCGATCTACCCAGCTATCGATCTACCCAGCTATCGGTCTACCTGTCTATCGGTCTACCCAGCTATCGGTCTACCCAGCTATCGGTCTACCCAGCTATCGATCTACCCAGCTATCGGTCTACCCAGCTATCGGTCTACCCAGCTATCGGTCTACCTGTCTATCGGTCTACCCGCTATCGGTCTACCTGTCTATCGGTCTACCCAGCTATCGGTCTAACCTGTCTATCGGTCTACCCGCTATCGGTCTACCCATCTATCGGTCTACCCGCTATCGGTCTACCCAGCTATCGATCTACCCAGCTATCGGTCTGTCCAGCTATCGGTCTACCCAGCTATCGGTCTACCCATCTATCGGTCTACCTGTCTATCGGTCTACCCAGCTATCGGTCTACCTGTCTATCGGTCTACCCATCTGTCGGTCTACCCAGCTATCGGTCTACCCAG